TCCTCTTTGGTTACCTAATTCCTAGTTTGGTTTATTCCTCCACCTAAGTCCGAGGATCGCTTTAGTTGGCCAGTATTCCTCGGTTGTTATGCCGGCTCACTCAACATGACTGCTATGTCCATAGTTAGGGAATTTATACGTGCGGAGTTGGACACTGCTAGTAGAGTAGGAAGGCGGTGTGTATACATGTTAAAGCAGGACGGAGGTTGTGTCGACCGTGAAATGTTGGGCATTTAACCGTACGGACCGGCTGACCGTTTCAACAGGCTAAGCGGACACGGTGTGCAAAGGTAAACCCGCAAACAGCTAGCATACCGGTCAGCTCCAAGTGAGTGACGACTCCTGCCGTTTCCACGAAGAATAGCCGCAGGGCTCAGAATAAGCGGCTTAACCACCCGGAGTGCGGAATACGCTTTGTATAATAGGCAGAACTAGCGGCAAGTCATCGCAACTTGAGTGGTCTCCGGACCCGTACGATGTCTGTCGATTCTATGTGTGAAGGTTCGGTTTCAGGTAAGACTGGCTGGGATTGGCGTAAAGGAGACTTTAGCGACGGGCACATAGGTTCATGAGGACATATGTTGTTTTGGGTATTGTAGAACGCGCTACGCAATGGTCGATTGACTAAATATCCGGTGAGGCGAACGAATGAGAAGTATCTTCAATCAAGGGTACAATATTACTACTGAGCAGATTTCGGTGACCAGGGGGATCCACCTCTAACCTAGAAGAGGTCTGTTGTTGCCTCCCAAGGATGGTTTCGGGTGTTAAGCAAGCAAACGAGTTAGACACCCCTTTGAGTTGTGAATGAGCTCCGTATCCACGCTGCTCGCATACATTTTTGATGTGTTTTGCGGTGACGACAATCAGCAGCCAGGCCTAATAAAGGACCGCGTAGGCCTCCCGAGGCCTCCGCTCATCAAACGGCCCCATCTGTCGGAGGCCTATATCCCCAGGCAACCCGTGAAATCCAAAGTAGGGGTGCTTGCCGTTTATGGACGGCGCCTGTATGACCCACGTTATGGAGTCTTTACTTTCGCCGTCCGGATCTTTCGAAGGGGAGTAGAGTCTTAGTCGGTTCCGACCCATGAGTCTAACTAGATGGCTCAACGTTGATCTGCGACGGATCGGACACATGAGAAGCCTCTATCAACAACAGGTCACCGACTATAACACTAGGTCAGCAGTAACGAGGCGCTCTCATGAGTGTATAGAACAACGGGGGAACCTAGACCAAATTTGCCGCCTGACGTCTTTTGCAGAGGGTCCCTCATCTCAAGGATGGCCCCTTTTTTTCAGAGCTCTTACATTCCCTCGCTGTACGGCCAGGATTACCCGAAGTTCATGTTTTACGGTGCAGGTTACGTATAACCCTATTTACCCTGCGCACTACGAGCCCCAAGCTACACAGATCTCTGCGTCGTTCCCTAGTTAAATTCGGTAGAGCTGACTTCGCTACCCAATACGTTAAGGCTCAGGCGGCGGAGTCTGGCTCTGAAAATCTTTCTGAAGCTTGTCTCACGAATAGTCGACAGGAGACAGAGTAGTGTGTAGAAAGCTCCCTAGGCTGTGCCGGCGTGCCCTAGCTGGAGATCTTTGAGAGTTAAGCGCCCCTTCGTGGTTGTTTCAGGAGGGGTAAATCAAAGTCCAGGTCAGTTATCTTGACCTCAGAGTTCTAGTAACTGGAGACACTAAAGTTTGTTGGACGGAGACCCCATCTTGTCCGTCTTAGGGGATCGGCGTTCTGCGGCGCGCATAAATCGGAAGCAAGTCTGGCTATATAAGGTTCTGTCGTGACTTGGTTGGTCTCACCAGGCGTCCTACGCGATACTTCCCAGCCGCGCGATAATTATAAGGAACGCGTGTCAGGAGCTGAACAGAATACGGTCGACTGGGCGACTCTAATGCCCTTTAACCCTATTGTGGTGGTGATGGGGTTATAGACAAGCGCGGGGGCGCACACGGGTCAGTGCGACGTAGCAGAGCCGTACAAGAATCCGGGATTCGGCATGAAGTGTAAATTTGCGTTCTAGTGGGCGTTTTAAGATCTCCCCGGAAGGCTAAGTGGTTGTATTCTATATCATTCTCCTTTATCGGGTACATTCTTCTTCCATATTAGGAGACCATTTGGGCCTCAGACAAAGACCATTTGGCATAAGAGATAGATCCTTGGGCCTTCTCACCTCAACGTGAACGTGGAGACTAGGTGGCAGCGATTATGGACACTTTACCTGCTAAGGGGAAGCGAAGCCTAAAGTCAGTTTAATTGTCATGGGATATACCCGACGTACTCCGCTAAGACTATCCCGATTGCATCATGAGTATTACTACGCCTCATAATCCTAGGCACTATCTCCGCTTCATTATAATACGTCAGGCGTCGTAGGTCCAGGGTGTGGCTCCCGAAGATCCTAATGCACAGACTAAATATGCCGTGAAAAATCCCGAAAGGGACTAAATATATCGCCATTAGATTAAGGGAATGTTTCGAGCGTCCACTGGGAAGGTATCTCCTTAATCGCAAGAGGTAACGGCCCTTAATCTGGACGGATGTGTCATCGGTGTCCCAACTGTATACCTGCTACTCTATATTGCTTCTCAGGCTTTACGCCTGACTACGCCGTTTGGGTACCAGTAAGACGAGAGCGATGCTGCTCGCGGGGTGTATTCAAAAATATGAGTTGATCCCCACGTGCCTGCAGCATGGTGGGACCTCAGGGGCGCGACCGCTACTTACAGCGATAATAGGGAGGGGGCATGAGGAGAGACTATTCCCGCAACAGGTTGCTTCCCAAAGTTGGCTGAAGCCAGCCTATCGAAGCTTCCCCACAAAATATGCTCGAATAGGCTGATGCGGGTGAGTCGTTCATTGACTAAAAACAACAGGTTATACATCGAAGATAGAGAAGTGTGCTTACACTGCTGCGCAAAATTAAAGAAGGTTACGCTGAGAAACGGAATAGCGCTGGCGTCATCTGCCACCATTGCAATCGTCTGGGTGTTTATGTTAATTGTTATATGAAAAGAAGCCTAAGTGAAAGCTAAATCCACGATAATTGATGTTGCGGCTCACATTCTGTAAACAGCTGCCATTAATGCACACTGCCTATATACGACATACCCCCAAGGAATGAAACCTCCTGACGCTAGTATTTGGGTTAAAATTACGCCCTCACCTCGATCTTATCGACCTGCGGTGATGGCCGTCTCCAATCTTGCTTTTGCGCGTCACCGAAGCCCAGTCATGGGTTTACCACAACGATTCAATAGCTGTGCGAACAGCAACCGATAGGTTCACCACATCCTGTCGTTCTAAAGCTTACCTGTCCTCAGGTCTAAGGTCTAGGCCGGACCTGCACGCTCGTGCGGCAATCCTTTGCACCTTTTTGGGCAACATACATTGTATCGTCTAACTGTCGGTTCCAGCACCACTTACGATAGAGAACCCTTCCTAAAGTCTCAATATGAGTGATCTTTGTGAAGAGCTTTGAGGCGCCGCACAGGATAGCCGGCTAGCGTAAACTCTGGGCAAGTCACGCTCGAAATGCTTGATCCCTACCGACAGTTTGTATGACAGTTTTAGGCGTCTCGTGAGCTGCTCGTCTGGGTATGGCTCCGGTCTACCGACAACCCGCGAGCGTTATCCAGGCTTGATCCGCTCTTTGCGACTATGCTTAGACCGATCATGGATTTGAATGTTTCCATACCGCTGCACAAGTATCCATGCGGCCACTGTCATCGACGGATGGACCTTGAAGACCTCACGTGCCATTTGTAGGCCTTCGGGTCATAATCTGGCACCGGAAGAGTGGCGAAGGAAGGAGAGCCGCTACCTGAGATGGATCTTCTTTATCTTGTGACCCAGTTAGTACCGGCGTCTGCTACGAGATCACCACGGGTGTCGATTAAATCGCTATCCTAACATAGGCCGCGTGAACGGGCCCACGTGTCAAAGTACCTTCAACTGGATGTGTGTTCTGCTCCAGACTCAGCTACGTCATCACTACTATGGACGGAGAAAGAAATGATGGGATTTGAGGGATCGGAAACTATATCATTAGGCTCAACAGGGATCCGTCAACGGATCTTGACTCGGATGGGGTCTGGCATAGTATGTAAAACCTATACGCGGGCTCGAAAATTTACGGTCATGCGTTTCGCAAGAAAAAGTACAAAATGCACGAACTTTTCAGCGGATGGCTCCAGTGAAATTAAAGGCAATACTATTCGCTTTATCGTCATGTTATGCGGTTAAATATCCCTATTCCTCTCTCCGGTTAATCGAAGAATAGTAGCGGATAGTAGATCGTCACATTAAGCTTCTCGGGATATACGCCGTAAATAAACGTACCACTTTCCGACTTATTGATGGCTAAAACAGCTTAAGTGCCATTAATGGTAACTTGACACGGGGTTTATATTGGGAAGCAGAAAAAGTTATTATTGTCCTAGTGGGTATATCCAATGGCAGAATTAAGCTTTCGTGACTGCAGGATTCATCTTCTTGGTTCTTTCGGTAAAGTCACGTAGAAGGGAAATAATAAATAATAAAAGTTAAACATACAATTATTTTCATGTTTATTTTTATTATTTATTATGTCCCTTCTACGTGACTTTACCAAAAGAACCAAGGAGATGGGCTGTCAATGTTTCGATTTGTCATAGGAATACTTCCATAATTTTTTGTCTACAGGCATAGATTGTCTGAAAATTCTACCATTTCATCAATACACTGCATTTGAAGAGGCCTGTGAACGCACACAATTTTCATTCGAAAGTGACACAAAATACAGCCGAGCAAGTAGGTTCGTTCATGACGGCTGATCCATGAGAATAAATTATTTCAGTTCCGCACGATTTTTTCCCTTGTACTATCCACATGGTTTGGCGCAAAAGATAAAAAAATATATATATATGCTTCCACGTCACTCAATTGCTAAATTGCCCGGTTGCTATTTATGAAGTGGAAAGAGGAGGTGGATGTTTACGAAACTTCAAGGATGGGGGGGGGGAGCGCCGGTTATCTGGGGTCACACTCCGAGCCACACGTCTGCATCGTGGACGATCACGCTGCCATTGCGCCACAAGCGCATGTGGTCCCCCCTCCCGGAGTGGCACGGAGCTCAGTGTTGGGACTCTACCCCCAAAACGCACGAGGCAACAACGGGAAGCACCGGGGTTCCCATAAGAAAATGGAGAAATGGCTCTGCCGAGTAATAGAACATTATGCACCCACCCATCCGATGCCGGGTTGCACGCCGCCCCACCAAATTTGCTACATAGCGGCCGGCAAATTACGGCCATGGAGCAGCATGAGCCTCTCTGAGGACTGCTTCGTGACTCGTATTCATGTGCATTGCTGCTCTTGAAATATTGCGTTTTTATGGAATAAAAACAAATTACGAATCTGAATCACCCCTGCGCTACATCGATGATTGTGTCACGAGAGTGTACAATGCACCATGTTGAAAGAAAATGTATGATACGTTCTGTTTTCTGTCCATTGTCATTTCTTCAAAGTAATATTTTACAGCCCTTTGTTAATCCACTGCTGGGTGAAGGCATGTCAGCACATTGTCAGTCTTTGAGTGTTGTTGGACCATACTTCACTTTTCTGGTTAGTGCAGTTGGTGAAGCTTAGTTGAATTAAAAAAAAATCCTACAGGTTGAGTAATGTATCGGTATCCAGTATAGAATTGTTTCTCTTTAACAGATACCACCGGCGTAATATACGATCATTTGTTTTAGAATAGTTTCCTGATAATAATTGACTATAATTGAATGGAAGCGGTCATGTGTAGCGCCACGGTGGTGAAATGTTAACTCCAGTGCCTGGTATACAGGAGGTTGTGGAGTCAATCCCGATCCTGACGCCTGTATATTTGTAGTTTGCATGTTCTCCTTGTAGTCGCGTGGATTTTTCTCCGGGTCCTCCGGATTTCCCTCCACATTTAGAAACATGCGTTTAGAGTATTTGGCTGCTATAATTGTCCACTGATGATAAGCCACTTCGTTGAGCTATCATTTGTGGCCAGGTCGCTTCTGAAAAAGAGCTGTATAGCTCAGTGGGCCTTACGTGGTAAAATAAAAATAGCATGAACCCAATTCATTTACCAGGGTTCCAATTCACTTATTGGAATTAATCGTAATTTTTCGTTTAAAATGTGTAAAATCTATCAGACAGATAAAATGTACATGGCCGTTATACGATTTTTGAAAAAAATGCATCTGGAAGCAATGAACACATTTACAATGCTGTACTCTGTAAATACAGTAAGTTACAAATTACGTATGATGGATTCCATTTAATTACAGACGGCTATAATCAGAAAAAATATCTGTAAAAAGTTCTTCACCATACGAGTAAATACACTTTGATTTAAATATGAATTCTTTCTCTTCCCTACTGAGTGTAAACCCAGACAGGGTGTACGCAAACAAGCGTCAGCACGGGCAATTTTGGTGTGAAACGAGCACGATATTTGTCTCGTTGCGTTGGGAACGAGATGTGGCAGGTCTGCCTTGGACATTGAATTGTGCATTGAGCTGCAAGAAGGCCACACAATTTGTTGAGTGGCCTTCGGGAGCCAGTCACTCAAGGCAACGGGTTTTGGGGGTGGGAAGGGGTTTGGGATTTTCGTGCCATTTTGGTTGTGGCCGCCACCTTGTGGAATATAAGGAGAACATCTTCCAGTGTGGAATATGGTAAATAAAAAACACACAACTCGCCATGACTGAAATTTCTTGGTGGGATCGAGAATGGCTGCAGGTTTTCTTGGTTACGAGTCATGCCGTAATTTTTTTGTTATTTTGTTTGTTGTCCGGGAATATAATTGTCTCTATTGTGCGGATGAATTGCGTGTTATTAATGCAATTTATTATCTGTGTATTTGCCAACTGTGTGTGTTTGTTGAAACAGGACATCGCAGAAGTAATCGAGAAAGCAAAGAAGGTAGGTTGAGTGAGCATGCATCGTTAAAGCCATATCCCTTACGAGACATAACCCCAAGTAATAAAGCATAGATCAAAAGACCGCTTGTGTCTGCGGGATGAAAAAGCAATCCTGAAATGTCAAGATACAATCCCTAACGATTCCTGGAATGTCGCGTTTTGCAGCGAGGTCTACGTTGCTAGGCATCTGTGTAAACATCGCTTGACTGATAATGCTTGTATGCCGGGAATGTGGAGAAATGGGCTTGCCAAACAATACATTACACGTCCAGTTACAAGGTACAAGCGCAAACAGCCCTTAATTATTAAAAGTCCACCAGCCATTACAGCTGTATTCAGTTTGCCGTGTACATGACTATTAAAGCTGAAGGAAGTTCTCTTCTTGGATCAGAACTCCTATGTTCTGGATGTTCTGCCATGTGACAAAATCTCGTATTGACACCTGGGTGTCCAGGCAGGGCTGGTGGCACTTGTGTCTGTTGCGAGCACCATGGAGAGTTTGCAAGGATCTTGGAGTTGTCCGAACGGTACGTGGTGCAATCGAGAGAGGCAAAAACATTACACGAGTGTGTCTGTGTGTGTGTGTGCATGTGATGGCTTTTTTTAACATACTATCATGCAGAGTGTGACTCGAGTCATGTGACTTGGACTCGAGTCAGACTCGAGTCATGAATTTGATGACTTCAGACTCGACTGGACTTGCATAACAATGACTTTGTCCCACCTCTGAGGTGTGGACTCAAGTCATGTGACTTGGACTCGAGTCAGACTCGAGTCATGAATTTGATGACTTCAGACTCGACTTGGACTTGCATAACAATGACTTTGTCCCACCTCTGCTATCATGTAATCGGCATCCAATATACATGCGTTGTTGTCTAACGTGTCTGGCTAAATGGTAGTGTGGTATCTATTGCACATTTTGGCAGTATCAAATTGATTAAACAATAAGAATAGTAGTATGGTGTTATATTTTGTGGTAAGAATTTGGTGGTGTCTGATTTAAACAAAATTCATAATATAATCATCAGCCATGATCAGTCTACTGCTCTATGAAGGCCTCCCCAAGCTATTGATAAAGTATACTGCTCACACTTGATTACGTCACCCAACTTATATCATGTTGTATTATACAGTTTTCATGGTAAAAAGGAATTTTGTATTGCCAGTAAAAAATCACGTTGCAATTTTGAATGCCAAAAGGTCACAAGCACGTTGCTCAGAAGCACATCGTCACACCCCATTGCGACAGTCCTGGCTGCAGCCCATGTATGTTAGCACTGAATCATTTCAATCATTTGACGCTGTGCAATGTGGCTAGCAAACAACTTTCTCCGTTGGTAGCAACAGTAACAGTGATACATCATTTACGTGGATGTACCAAAGTCGAGCACTGTTACAATCATGAACGCAACAAGCAGTCGCCATATAGAGTGAGTATGAGTGACAAATCTGACCGTCATTGAATGCACGTTATATGACATGCTGTGTTACAAGATATACTCTGATATGGAACGCTTTAAGAGGAATCAGAAATGTTCATGCATCGCCCGATCTCGGAATCCAAGTGGTTTGAGCCTTGACAATGATTGGATGGCTGACCACCATGCATACAGCAGGTGTAAAAGGCTGTGAGGCTACATTATGGACACCACAAGACATTGGAGCGTAATCTAATGTTGTACTGTACTATGCTCCCACGTATGCGCACGCCTCACCTTCACCGACCAGCATGGTGATGTATGGTCAATCAACCTGAACAGCATGGAGAGGCGCATCATCCACAGCGCATTCACAAAAAGACTTGCACATGTACATGACAATATCATCAAGTGGAGACCCTTCTGTTGTCTCCACATATAATTAAAACTATGATTTAGTCCACCGGCCTTTTGGCTTTCCAGACCAATCTTATCAAGCAGCATTTGTGTAAGCAAGCAAACTCTGGAGCGGTTTCGACCTTCCTTGTCTCATCCAGGATTTTTTCTGTTGCGTATAGTCACTTTAAGATGTTTCTTGTTCATGTTTTTCTTTTGTTGCGGTTGCACCCGAGTCAAGAGCCGCATGGCTCACAGGGTTATACGTAATAAATGAAACTGAAACCGAATCAGCAGACTCGGCCTTGTTGGTATTACCAAGAGGGCAATACCATAATGGCCGTGGTGTGTGGTGTGTTGCAGGTTCCCTGGTTTTGTGTTGCCCTGCCTGGGCGTTCACCCGGTGCAGGGATCTCCCTGCCAACCACGCAGCGCCACCCTGGAGGTACCCACAGGGGTCTCGCAGTCCACAGCCACACCCGGCTCACATTAACGGACGTTAACCTTTGTACCGGGTGGGGAGAGCGGTGGTTATAGCGAGCTGCGCTATAAATACTAAACTTAACTTTTTGTTTTAGCAGGTAAGGCCCGCTGAGCTTCAGAAGCGCGACCTGGCCACAAATGATAGCTCGAGGAAGTGGCTTATCAAAGTGGAAATTAAAATTTGGTGAACTGATTTCGAATCCAGTCCACCACTAACATCAGCTACTGAGTGATATCTAAACCGGTAGCGAGTCTCCGAAACACTAACTTTGCATTGACCAGCATGGTGAAGTGTGGACAAGCAGTCCCCATGAGCGAAAGACGTGGGGATGCCTTAATCCAGCAGTGGATTGACAAAGGGCGGTAAAAAAATACCTTTGTACCTTTGCGTCACGAAAAAAAACGCAGCCGCTGACAAATTGTTACAATGCTCCCTGTTGCACTGGAATTCAGCATACCCATGCCGTCCTTCTTCCCTTTAAAGTTGTCTTATTTTTAAAATTTCATTGATGCGCATCACTCTATTTTTATAGCATGTTGAAATCCGGTAACTCTACAAACTTTAAAAGTTAAAACTACATTTGTACTTTTGTGACTTATTGTCATGTGATGCGAGAAATACGTCTCCTTTGTAGGAATGTGGAATTTCTAATCACTAGCTCATGGCTGTAAACAGATGAGTACCGAGGAGGAAATAACTCGTTTGACTATCACGTGATACAGCCGAGCACACAATCTAAATAAACTGTCTGGAAATCATGTTAGTGTACTTCACAAGCGAGTTTGTTCATGGTATTGTGGCAGAGGGCTTCCTTCAGGGAGAAAGTATAAAACTGATAGACAGTCATTTCATATTTATATTTAACTAGCCTGTAGTTTATTCGGCAACATTCCCAGATAAAGAATATATTTTACCGGATGTCTATGCACATTTTATGGGCCATTTCGCACGTGCCTGCTAACTTTACCGCATTCCTTGGGCCAATAGGCTACAGGCTATGGGCATTTGTAGACACTGGTTAATCGAGCCATAGTTTAGGCTTGCTGGAGTTTTATTCTGATGCTGCTCACCACTTATCAAGTTCAAGTTCATTTATTAGGTATAGCCCTGTGAGCCATTCGGCTCTTGAATCGGGTGCAACCGCACCAAACAAAAAACAAAAACATGACCACAAATCATCTTAAAGTTAATATGTGACTGAGTGCAAACAGAACATCCATTGCCAACAATGAAGAAGCCTTAAAAGCGCTGGTGTAGACTCCACAAATATTTCAATAATTGAGTGTAGTTCCCGGTTGGGCTGCGTGTTAAGCATTTCTTCTCTTGAGCTTTCACCACGCACATCTGAGGGCATCTCTTGAAAGGCCGTGGGTAGACTTTCATCCAGCATTGGACGGGCAAAGGCGATGTCCACAGCAGTGCGTGATGAAAACTCAAGAGAATAATTTCTCAAACTGCAGGCCTGACCCGTGGAGAACCACACTCTAGATTAAAAACAAATTTCTTTAGAAATGCTTTTTGTATTCAGTTTATTGCCCTTCCCCCACACCTTCGATTAGCACGGTTGGCTACATAGGGTGCAAAAGATATTCAACATACGTATGTACACACACTTGGAATACAAGGAGTTATGAAAACATAGACCTGTGAAACCTACAATAATGGTTAATGCAGGTGTGATCAGTCAAAAGTGCGATGGCCACGAGGCTTGAGGTTATGATGATATGACTGTCTTCTTGGTTCTTTGGTAAAGTCACGTAGAAGGGAAAAATATATATATATATATATTAAAAAAATAAATACATTTCTACGTGACTTTACCGAAAGAACCAAGAAGATGAATCCCTGCAGTCACGAAAGCTTTAAATCGAAATGATATGACTGTTTTGTTTCTCCGCTAGGACCTGATGTCTGCCCAGCCAGTGATAGAGCAGCAGTGCGAGCGCTTGATGGCTGTGGGAGAGGTAGGTCTGTGCCTTTTTTTCTTTTTTATGACAAATTATGCTTTTTAAGAATCGTGCCTCGGTGGCAACACTCTCACATGAATTGGACTCGTGTAGCTGTCGGTGGAAACACGACGCATTGTTCAATGATCACACATTTCGTGTGGTTTTCAGTGTGCGGGGAATAGTTTACGGTAACACCTGTGATGTGAATACGTTTTGAAACGTGCCAAATTGTTTTTTCGACACCATTATGAGGGAGTACAGCAATGTACACTATTCCCGATGTGAATAAGTTGCGATCGTGAATTAAAAAGTACAACAATAGGATTGATAATGCTGGAATTACATATGTAGACTTTCCTGGTAATGTGCATTTAATTCATCTTAGCAGATCTGTATTGTAACTAAATAGGTTAGAATACAAGGCTGACCACATTACAAATGACCGTTGTCATTTTATCTAATCTAATGGATTCTAAAAATGCAGTCCTAAGAGGTTTGTCCATAAAATTATGCATATAAAATGGAGGAAAACAAGTTAATGGAGATTTGATTCTGTAAAAGGCTACCTTGAATACATTTTAAAATAACGTGTGGGTAGTGCAGCAAGCCGAGCATAGCCAAAACCAATATGTGAAAACAATGCTAAGAGCTGGTAATGCACAAGTTGTGTCTTTTATTGTGTACTGCACTTTGGAAAGTTAGACTAGGCCTTTAAGTAGGCGTCAGGGCTTGACACGTCATCAAAGGTAATGGGTAAGGATTATAGAGGAATATACATCATTAGACAAGGCTACACTTATCACGAGAAGGTGGCTAAATTTAGAATGCTCTAGTTTGTATTTTATTACACGACAATTTATGAAGCTGTCCGTGTGGAAGACCATTAAACAGCAGCGTGCGACATGACTGTTTTGGGACGTATCGGACACATCACGTTGTTGTTTAGATGTATTATTGTTAATGTATTATTTTGAGTTGCCTTATTTTCTTTCTGGATAAAAAATAATGGAGATACCTATATCTATTGGTTATTGATACATACTTCCAAGCTCACCACTTCCCACGAAATAAAATGTACAGCCCTTTGTCAATCGACTGCTCGATGAAGGCCTTCCCACACTGTACCAATCGTGAGAGTTGTTTCGGGAAGATTTCACCACACTCGTCAGTAAAACTTGGTGAAGGGGAGCCCAGGACCAGTTCAGATCCAACTTGCCACCGATGTTAGCTGTGGCCAGGAATCGAACTCGAGTCACTCCACTAATTGCACAATTGCTTCCCTCAATTCTGTGCGTTGTGCTATTACTCAGAGAGTTCTGTACTGGAATTGAGTTTTCTGTAAGTATCGATTTAAAGCTTTCGTGACTGCAGGGATTCATCTTCTTGCTTCTTTCGGTAAAGTCACGTAGAAGGGAAATCTTGCTACCGTAATGCCACTTGTACATGGAATAACATTGTATATATTTTACATTTAAAAAGTATTTTAACTATACCATATACCTAATTAAAATATATATTACTGAAATGCTAAGTTATATGTAAAGGTTAATATATTTGTGTTATGCTTAATGTTCCCATGGGCATTTTTTTTTTACTTTTGTACAATTATACCATTGACCTTTCATCACATGTGACATGGACAGAGTGGTACTTGGTCTGAGCAAGGTTTCCCTTAATTAAGAGGTGATTGATTGGAACAGACTCTCATCTGGTGTTAAACTTTAAAGGCCATCAATGAAGGAAAAGTTGTGAAATTACAGCTTAATTTCTAAAAGGCTATTACTACAAAGGCCACCAAAACGGGTCTTAGTTTTTCTAACAATAGTAATTGGAAAGTTTTCATCTTATTATAATGAAACATTATACTTGGAAGCACTGAAAACCCTCCTGGCAAAGACCTACTTTAAAAACAGTGTTGCCAACGTAGCATATCTTCCCATGACACATTTGAGTTGTAAACCAACCACGCTGATATTTAAAAACAATAAAATATATGGCATCGTTTGCACACCCTTTGCTATGACGTATGTAACTGCACATTGCCACCTTTTATTGCAGCTCTGGCAGTGAAAGCTTATGACAGAGACAATGGAATGTCTCAAAGGTCAAGCTACTGTGACATGTCTAACCTTCGTCATGGGTGTTATCACTGCTATTTATTTGCACCAATAATCGAGTGCGATACCGTGGATAGGGAACTCCTGCGCATAAGATTCACACATCCACAATAGTGTATTCAGCATATTCCAGTCTAACTGTACCATGACAACACACTGCAGTGATTGTCATATCTAGAGCATAGTGGTTAAGTGTTTGAATGTATTTACTTATTCTTGTGCGTTTGTGAATACCTGTATGCATTGCGTTTTGGCGGATTTTCTTACAACGATTGTGGGAGTGTGTCTCCACATTGCTGGCATTTAAATGTTGGTGTTTCAAACTAATTAGTTGAAGCACAATCAAGTATGTCTCATCCGCAGAACAATATTCATTAATGGATGTTGGTTTTTATGGATCGATCAATGAGAAATGCTCTGACAAGCAGTACTTCCTGAAGATGCCTCCAATGTTGGAGGCGAAACGTCGCAAAGGAAGAGTAACTTTTAAAAGAGCATTTCTTAAAATAAGAAATGCCAACGTCAATTATACAAAACTGGCAAAACAGCCAGCGACTATGAGTGGATATTATTAACAGCAAATGTTATCTTCCATGCAAGGCCACCAAAACGTGTTTTGGGACACTGGGGAAAAATCACATATGAGGTCCTCCGTGTGAAGTTCTTTGGGCTTTTTCTGAAGCCCCCGCTTGGCCATTTTTGTGGATCCCCTCAGATCTGAGGCCCAGGGAAAACTGTCACGTAGAAAATCAAATAATAATAGAATATGACGTTTCGGTTGCAAACAAGCAACCATCATCAGGTAAGAATGAATGATAAACACAGACACGGGACCAGCATAGGCAGACATGCAGAGAGAGACACATTGTGTGTGTCTCTCTCTGCATGTCTGCCTATGCTGAGAGACATTGTGTGTGTCTCTCTCTGCATGTCTGCCTATGCTGGTCCGTGTCTGTATTTTATCATTCATTCTTACCTGATGATGGTTGCTTGCTTTGCAACACACACAATGTGTCTCTCTCTGCATGTGTGTCCTTGTGTGTGTCTCTCTCTGCATGTGTCTGCCTATGCTGTTCCCGTGTCTGCGTTTTATTCATTCTTACCTGATGATGGTTGCTTGTGTTGCAACCGAAACGTCGTATTCTATTATTTGATAAAATTTTCTCGGTGACTTTACCGAAAGAACCAAAGAGTAATTCCTGCAGTCACGAAAGCTTCGAATCTAGTTTCCCCCCACCCCACCCCCTCCTCCCTTGCTGCTGCCCTGCTTCCATTCACTTCGTTGAGTCTTTTAAGAATCCTCAACCTTTATAAATGTCCACGTTGCCCGAGTTGTGCGCGAACCACCAGAGGGGGCTCTTGCGTTGCTTGCAGGTGGGGCTGGACTTCAGCCCCCGTGTGGCCAAGACGGAGCAGGACAAGCAGGGCCAGAGGGAGGTGCTCTCTCGCCAGGTGGCGCTCGCCCTACGGCTCGACCTGCCCCTGTGAGTGTCTTGGCAACGACCAACAAAACCCTCTCTCTCCCCTCTCTACCCAAGCCCACATGGCCCACATCGAATGCGGCCAAGTGTTGCCAACTTCTTTTAGGGCACGCTCGGTTGCCAAATGGGTTTCGGAGAGTCCACTCGATGTCTCAATATGGGTCACCAAAAAGGGAGCATTGTCAAATTCATCATTGAGACGAGATATTGTACATTTGCAGTAACACTGTAAAAAAAATACTTCAGTAAATTAAGCAAAATAAAGTAACAGAAAAAATAACACAGTCCTGCTGCTAGTTTGTAGTCGAAGTGGGACAATGATTCACCACAATTGCACACACACGGGGCATGCACACACACACACACAGACGACCAACAACAACGATCCCCCCGTGTAGCCTTAACAGACTAAAGGGGCAAGTGCTGTGAGTGACACTTATGAAGGCTGGTTCAGCACACGAGGGGGTGGTGGCCAACACCACGCCCGGCCGCCTTTGTGTCCCCAGTGGTGATGTTTACACACGAAGGCACTGGTGTTGTCCGTGAGCAAGAATCGAACTCGGGTCACCGCTTTCGTAGCGCAGCGCGCTGACCGCTACGCCACTGCTCCCCACACAAAGACAAAGATCCCCTGTGTAGCCTTAACAGGCTGTAGGGCAAGTGCTGTTAGCGAGCACCTATGAAGGCCGGAACGGTACACGAGAGGATGGATGGGCAGCACCACCTCCCGGCCGCCTTTGTCCACGCGTGCACACAAACACTCCCAGCGCTAGGTCCACTCGTTACATCTCGCGGAGGATCGCTCCTCTTAAAATAGTTCAGTTTGCAATTGGCAGGTCGCGTTTTAAGTATTTTTTCTTTTACACGCTTTTGATTAACTCTGTTGTTGTGTCCTCAAATCTTCTAACTAAATTTTTACCCACTTCCCAATGTGGTATCGACTGCAAACTTGGTATACTTATGTTATACTGATGACAATACTATATTCTATCATTAAAAAAAAACATTTTAAAATATTCTTCTTTAGATGTTATGTTTCGGCTTGGCTCTAATTGTCCACGCTCAACTGACGTTGGCTGTAAATGGGCACGGCCCCTTACGTTATGGCAAGCTTCGGGCTACTTCCTGGAGTCGTGGAGTTATTCTATTGCTAGTAGGGCACATTTCATTAAAGCGTGTTTAAAAAATAAGTTTTTTAAACGTTACTTATTTTTTGTATTTCATGGAAGCTGGTTCGTAAGCACGGGTGTTTGTAAGTCGGTGCGTTCATAAATATTGGACTGCCTCTACTGTACGACCATCAGTGTGAAAAATAAGTGTATTATTGATATATTAAGATATATTACCTTGTATATTATACTATATGTATTATTAGTTTATCATATACACATTTTTACACTTATATGTACATAGTCGCCATAAATGTAGTATGTGGGTGAAAACTTAAGAGAGTACGTGTAGACATCAAATTAACTGCGCTTGGGAGCCATCTGGTGGATGATTGTCACTGTGCAGCGTAAACCATTTGGGTGTTCATGGTAAAGTTCGTAAATCTCGAGTACATTATGCCGCCGAGGTACCAACGTACGTAAACACGGATTGGGTATCACTCAGTTGAGTACGTTATAACAAAAGTACGTAACACGGGAGGGCGTAGATCGGGGTATTACTGGATATCACACATAGAAAATTAATGCAGGATCCTTTATATACGTGGAATCATGTCAAAGTTCAAAGTTCATTTATTAGGTATAGCCCTGTGAGCCATTCGGCTCTTGAATCGGGTGCAACCGCAACAAACAAAAATAAAAACATGAACAAGAAAACATCTTAAAGTAACTATGTGCAAACAGAAAATCCAAGAAGAGACAGCAAAATATTGCAGAAAAGTACCGTACACCAACCCTGTGCAAATATCCCAGTGGGATGCAAGTCAAACAACAACAACCACAAGACAACTTAGATTGAAGCCATCAGTCTAACTCTGTACTACAACAAACAAACATGGCCAAACCAAAAAACTTTTCGAAATCACCAAAATAAAATGTCACGAGACAATTGGCCGGCTATTAAATATAGTAGATTGATACAGGATCCTTAATGCACACCTGGAATCGCTCCAGAGTCTGCATAGTGCCCTTATTCCAAAAAAAATTGCTAGATTTGACTTAAATGCACATGGTTGCGTGAGCACCCAATCAGCTGGAGAACACGATGATGTTGTGCTTGCTTGGTTTGATTCAACTGATGTAGGATCTTGCATGGTGGTGTTTGGTCTGCAGGAATGTGCACTCGAGGTCCGCTGGTAGACCAACTATTCAACTTCTCAAAGAGCAAGGTTCGGAAATAACAAGTGACATTCAAATTGAGATACAAAGAATAAACTTATAGATAACACACTTTTTAAAGGAATGTTCAAATTACTTTAAAAGATAACTGCCCAGTTGAGTATCCTTACATTGAGAGAAAGTTCCAAATGTAACTTGGCCCCTTTATATATTACCTTATTGCAATAGTCATCAGTAACTTATTTTTGCATTGCCTATGTTATTTTCATATGATTAAATGCCTGTTAAATATTGTACAGGTCACAATTATTTATTGCTGAAATGCGCATTGAGACAGTGTTCATCTCCTGTTTAAAGTCCTTAGCCAATGGTGGAAATTCCACATTCCTATGATGAGATCTAGTCTACCCATATGACATCAGCTGTTTACTTCCCCATGAAGTGGCACTAATTTTATCAACCTTGGAGGTTTGGTGGACTGTGTCAATCCCCAACCCGGATTTGGACTCGTAACCTTTCGATCGCAAGCCGCTCTATTGCGGAGTCACCCGGTCAGAAATCTTGTATAGAGTGGTTAAGTATCGGTTAATCGCCGGGACTGTCTGTGCTTTGCTCACATGATCCAGGAGCCCAGAATGTGTTGCTGCATGCCTTTGATGGGAGGCCTTCTGTGGCAATGGAGGGCGTTCAGGCTGGATACTTCTTCTCCATTCCGCCTTCCATCGTCCGCAGTGAACAGGTTTGTTGAAGTGGATTTTCCAAACAGGCGGTCGGCTGACTCAGAGGTCAGACACGGAGCTGGCACTGCTGAGATACTGGGTTTGAATTCAGGTTTCAGCTGCCGGCAATCAAAATAGTTTCTAAACTGTATCCCTTGCCTGGTACACGGGTCTTGGCTTTGATTCTGACCCTGACGATGCCTGTATATTTGGAGTTTGCATATTCTTTTCCTGTGGTAATGTGGATTTTTGTTTTATATGTATATATATAAGTTCCTCCAGTTTTTCCCTCCATATTTAGAAACATGCATTTAGATCATTTGGCTACTGCTATACATTCCCGCGTGTGATGTAAGCAACATCGGTGAGTTATTATGTGTGGCCAGGACATCTTTGAAGACGAGCTAATAGCTCAGTGGGCTTTACCTGGTACACTAAAATAGTTGAATTCCTGTACACAAAAAAAACTGTTTTTACAATTGTGTTTTCACTGAATTTTGTTAAATTGCCAGTTATGAACATTTTAAATATTTGTTTCACTTCCAAGCAATAAAGAATACTCTGTAGCAGAGCAGGTGGGAAGGGTTTGCTCCCTGATGTGAATAAGGGGGTTTCTTGAGGTGTCAAAAACAATTTGATGTCTCCTTCTGCAGACTCTTCTGTAACATAAGGCGATGGATGTGCTCACTGTGAGAGCTCCAAATGTACTAAGTTTAACGGAATGTCTAAACTACAAGCAGGATATAATTGTGAGAAGAAAAAGTAAACAATTGAGTTTCTCTGATAAAGATATTATTTGTCATTCCATTTCACCTTTTAATTCAAATTAGTATCGTGAATAATGGTCATTTGGAAATTTAACAGGAGGGATAGAAATGTTTTCATCCAAAAAAAAACCGAATCCTACTCACGAACAGGTTAACACTACATTATAATTTACGTTTTGCTAAATAAATGCGTTCAGGAGGCAGTGCATACATTTTAGGTTTAAATACGCCGTATGATGGAGTCGACTCACAGTTATAATCAGGATAAGACTGTAAACACCACATACATCGCAGTACGGTAAGTGAAGTCTAATGGCCACAGCATAGAAAAAACACATTTTTGGTAAATGCAAAGTTACTCAGCCAAGGCATACATTTAATTAAAATAATCTGAGATAATTATCTAATTTGTTATTGCAAACCCAGGCTAGTATGTGTTTCTCATGCCATAAAGCAACAGAAACTGATTATGTTTTATACTCTTTGTTTTTTTTCGGTAAAGTCACGTAGGTAAAAATTAAAATAAAATAAATGAAAACAACTAAATTAAATCACGACGTTTCGGAGGCAACACAAGCTTCCGTCTTCAGGTGAAACCGTAACGATTTAATTTAGTTTTCATTTATTTTATTTTTTACCTACGTGACTTTACCGAAAAAACCCAAAGAGTATGAATCCTTGCAGTCACGAAAGCTTCAAATCTAGAATTGATTATGTTTTGTTGAATACATTTCCCATTTGGAGCTCCGCATTGAGCTAAAGTGTGGTCAAACAACCCTCATGACCGACATGATGTGGACAGACCCTCATCCGGCAGGGGATTGACAAGGCACTGTATAATATTAATCGATATAATGAGCTGCCCATCTATCTGGAGCTAACGTGAGTTTTGTTTCTCTCAAGAAGGAGAAACTCGTGAAGCAGTTGCCTCTGGAGTACCTGGTGCTGGAGACAGACTCCCCGGCCCTTGGGCCTATCAAACAGGTATATCAGCAAAAACACTTCCGTTCACAATGGAAATGGCAAGCGCTTTCATTTTAATGAGGGTTGTGGAAAAATTTAGTGTGCTATATAAAACGGCTTTACTACCCGGCTTCGCCTGGGACTTGGATTCACCAGGCCTGGCCGCCTTTGTCTCCCCAGTGGTGATGTCTCCCCAGTGGTGATGTTCACACACCACACCAGTTACTCGTTTGAGGCTGAGTCGACCTAGGGGAGGCCCAGGACCGGTTCAAATAATCATCACCGGTGGTGGCCGTGAGCGGGAATCGAACTCGGGTCGCCGGGTTCATAGCGCAGCGCGCTAACCACTACACTACTGCTCCCCCCACACGCATGCGTGTCCATAGGTACACATACACGTGTAACATCAGCAGGCACACTGTTACGCTTTCGCATACGGGTCACATGACAGATTTGACCTCACAGCTCACTTGCCGTGCAAAATATATGCATTATTGTGTCCCCCCCACCCCCAAAAAAATACCAAAGTCTATTTTTATAATTTTTGTATGGTGTACTGTCTGGACAGTACCCACATGGCAAATTTCAAGTTTGTTGCATGTCGTGAAGTACGCTAAACATTTTTTACAAACACACATAATCACACATTTCCCTTTTATATATATAAATGAATGAATGACGCATTGCGACTGTACTGTCACTTTCATCTTTTGCAGATAAGAAATGAACCCAGCAATATTGTGGTGTCCTGCGAGTACGTGGCGAGGGTAAAGGGTGTATCGGTGGAGTATGTGGCACAGGTCACCACTGCCAATGCACTGAGGCTTTTTCCAAAACTTATGCGTTACATTAAGCTTTGTTAGTTACAAAACACCCCCCTCCCTAAAAAATACACACTGTGTAAAACAGCAGCCAACTCTTGATATTTCTTCGCGCGTGCTCTCAATGTGTATTTTTATCCCCCTTTCTGTGACCACTGACATTTCTTCGGCCACTGGTTAGTTGAGAATATCGATTAAGTTGTTTTGGAAGCCTGAAGTCGGACAATGTGAAGAACATGGTCATCCCAGTTAAACTGTGCTTCAGTAACGATTGCTTCATTACTTGTGCATATCATTAGTGTGTTTGAAACATTAACTTACAAATACATTGAGCGATGTTTTGTACACACAATATATTTACATGTTATTTCATGACCATCAGGTTGATTACTCCAGAATTATAATTAGCAGAGCAGAATTTCCTTTTAATGAGAGTGGTGCAAACTGTCACGGTTACACAATGAATTGGCATGTCTGTTCATACTACAGCATGATCATGTGCCAGTTTTTTTGCATGTAATTTTCACGTAATACTGTATGCAGTGCCAATGATGCACTTGCAGAGTCCTTATTTCTCCACCAGTGAGTGGGAACATTTTGCAAATCATGTTACATGCATTTATTTTCATCCCCTATCATTTATCCACTGCATATTCATGGTCCTGCAATATAACAAGCCACCTAGTGCCTGCACATGAGCTGATTTCATTGCTCCATCTCCGTGGCGCATGTATATTTGGTCCTTCCCTTCGTAGTTACTGCTAACCTTTGGCCAAAATCCCTTCCAATGATGTGTGATCTCCAACCCATGTTTCTTAACAGGCAACATGACTTAACAATCCATTTACTCTTTTAAGTGTCAGATCCACAGACAAGAAGAAGGCAGCCACGCGATGCCCAAGCTGTTATCGACCAATTAATGAGTGTTTACATGTGGGAGGAAACCGGAGCACCCAGAGAAAACCCACGCGCGTGAGGGGGAAACGCTCTATCCCGTACAGACAAGATGCAGAGTCCACATGTGAACTGCCTTCTGGCAAGCCAGGTTACGACGCATTGATCCACAAACCTTCGCCTCCATGGCTCCGATGAGCACGGTTGGCTACATACGGTGCGAAAGAAGTTCAACATACATACATGGCTGGATTATAAGCGTGCACCACTACGGCCTGACAGTTCAGCAACTGTTCTAAGTGTACATCCTCTGGTGTAGTATCCAATTGTGTCGTCTGACAAATTTGTAGACTATGAAAATGCATTTGACTCGGTTAAAACTGACAGTCCTTCAGGCTGCGACAAATCAAAGCATAAAATAAATGTCTTTTCAAAGCATTTAACAGCTGCACTGAGATATACAGAAAGTAACAGGTACACATCAACGGAGTAGTCACACGAGGAGTTGCATTCGCCAAAGTAATTTCGCATTGACTTCAGATTTTTTGGGGAAAAATTGGGTTGTAGAAAAAGCTAAAAATATTATTTGATATAAATATTAACCATCTTATATTTGCTGATGACATGGAAGTAACAGGATATTATATAAGCACGCTATAAATACGGCTGCAAAGTGGTACCTAATATGAGCAAAATTTGTCCCGTGTGCACATTACCATGCATTTATATGAACAGGGTATTCATAAAACGATGCTTTAGGTTTCATAACATGTGTTTCTTAAAATAATACACAAGTAGCTTGAAATCATCACTGATAAAACACAATGAGTGGGAGTATATAACTATGCAAAATAACGCAATGTGCGAGCTACCTCCAGTATCTGCCGGCAGCTTTTTCACGAAAACATAAACTGCTCTGTGCTATACGCCAACTTGTTCACTATTTCCTGTGTCAACGTCTGTGTTCACTACGTTTTGTGTCATCAGAAAGAGTCGTGAATTAGGTATATAGCACAGAGCAGCGTGTGTTTTTGGTGTTACGATTAACGCAGTTGGCTACGTACCTTACAAAAGAAATTTAAGATACGAAAAGCTGATAGCGTATGCTGGAGGCACCCACTTTGCATTATCAAAAACTCCCAAACTCCTTTGTATTTTGTAAGCTACGATTTCCAATTGTATGTGTATTGTAGGAATTGCATGTGATGCAATCTAGACCGTCTTTTTCGTCTTAAGACTATGTACATTCTAAATACACCGTTTGATAACCTCAAGTCGTTCATTTCATGTGGCATGTTTTATTTAATTACCTAACCTACATTTTATAACGAACCCCTTCGTGTCGACATATATGACTTGATCGTGCTTGTCAGCCAATGTGTGTGTATGTATGTTGAACTTCTTTCGCACCGTACGTAGCCAAGCGTGGGGAGGGTGGGGCTGGGTGGGGAGGGGCTGGTCACCCCGTGGTGCCCTTATAAAACTCAACGTTTAACCTGCTCACGCCGGCTTGTGCCCGCCCTCACAGTCGGGCATATTTGCGGAATACACCACGCCGCCGTTGACCCTGGCCATTGACCGAGCAACCCAACGTTCCTACCAGCTCCCTCCGCAGGAATGTGTTATAACGCACGCATGTGTTATATAGTTGCTGTAGTTATTTGCATGCACCTTTTTATATTCACTGTTGTTATCTGCATGTACGTTTTTCGGCGGCCAAAATAAATGTGCAGGCTAAATAAAGGCTCTGCTTTGATATTCGTCCATGCTCTGATCCCTCCTAACCAGACGCAAGTGCAAGGTGTTCCTGTATCCGAAACCTAACAAGTCATTATGGGTATTGCACACCTAACTTTTAACAACCAAAATTTTAATAGGCTGTGCCTGTCCAAAGGACACACACGCTATAAATACTTTACCATCGCACTTTACTCATTGCTACCTTTGTAAATTGACATGTAAAGCAACCGTTGCTGTTACAAACTCCAGCACACTATATCGTAGAACAAGTCCACACACGTATTTCAATACTTCTGTTACGGCAATTATTATTCATAATGCGATATTAAAAATTAATGTGTGCTGTGAGCGTACAAAACAAAGTCAATACTTTTTTGCAAGATCGCTGTTGTCGTCTTTCTCGAGAATTGCCCAAGATTGACCAAAGATCCCATTGCAGGACTGCTAAAAATATAGAGTATTGACGAGCGTTCCTAGATACGTGGTTTTATTACGATATGCCAGGTCACAGGATTTGTTCTCCCAAGATTGGAAGGCAGCGTGTATTAATTTAATGATGATGAATCCACTTTGACATGCAAGCCATGAGTGAATAAATTATTCCACTGTGCCTTCCAAACAAGCGTCTGGTTATTATCATTAATTGTAGGTCTAATGAAGGATGGGCTACGTCATGTCCAATTCAGTTCTAATAATACAAACATAAAAACGGGTTGCGGCTTAATTTTTTGCGTGAAATTTAGATAGATATTTAAAAAATTCGCTATTTTCTGAGCCCCCCCCCCCCCAAAAAAGCCAAGCAAATCACATTAGCTCATGTCACGTGTGGACTGCGGGAAAAGCTGAAAACCTCCAGCTCGCCCCCTCGTGGCTGCAGCCAGATGGCTTTATTCACTGGGCACTTGGCATTAAACGCACACACACGCGCGCACACCTAACAACCCACGCGCAGGTGCTCTTTAAAGCAGGAAATCGAGAGCACGGACATTCTGTCGCCCGGCCATCGAGTGGTCACAGAAGCAATGTTGTGCGGCGCTGGCACGCTGACGACGTGAACAAGGCAGAAGGTGAGCGCGAGGTTTTGTCGGAGGAGGAGGAGGAAGGGACGAGTGCGGCAGTGATGGACCGCGTATCGAGAGCAGGCAGGCGTGGTGCTGGTGCGATAGGGGCATTGTCAATGCCCGGCGTAGTAGCAGAGACTTCGCACAGAGCTCCCCTATAGACCGGGAAACGAACCTCGCTTTGCCTCCCCTCTACCTCCTCCTCCTCGTCCTCCTCGTCTTCTTCTTGTCGCTCTGTTGCTCGGTGGCAGCTCTAGAATCTCACTCGACGGTGATATGACCGAGACCGAGACCATCCCATCCCCGGGCGGGGAGGCAGGTGAGCGAGGCGTGGCTGCCGGCAGCGGCGAGACGGGTGACCGTGGGGGAGTCGTAGCCGGCGGTAGTGAGGAAGAGAACGACATCACATCGGACGTGGTGGGTGAGAAGAATCACATGGCAGCCAACCACGCCACACAGATGTTCGAGCTGCCCGCAGGTGACCACCACGGTGGCGAAGGTCCTGATGTCCATCATGACCAGGAGAAGCAGCAGCAGCAGCAGCGGGCGGACGAGGACCCGCAGCAAGCCGTGGGGTCAGCAGCTGTTGACCTTTGCAGGAGCAGGACCTCCAGCGCGTCCTTCCTTCGTCGAGATGAAGTTCACGACGAGGATCCCGTGGAGTTGGTGTGGGGATCCGAACGGGCAGCAGCAGCAGCAGCGGCGGCATCGTCGACCACCGAGCCAGCTGCAGCCAGCAGCTCCACGCCGCTGAACGCCAACAAGACCAGACTCTACTGCCGCCGTTGGGTCATCGTGACAATCTTCAGTATCTACTCGCTGTCCAACGCCTTCCAGTGGATCGAGTACAGCATCATCAACAACATCTTCGTGCGCTTCTACGGGGTCGATTCGGGCGCCGTGGACTGGCTGTCCATGGTCTACATGCTTGCCTACATCCCACTCATCTTCCCCATCACCTGGCTTCTCGACCACTACGGACTGCGCACCACGGCGCTGCTGGCCACGGCTTTCGACGCCCTGGGCGCGTGGCTCAAGGTGGCGAGCGTGAGGCCCGATGGCCTGGGATTCGGGGTCACGGTGCTGGCCCAGACCGTGTGCGCCATCTCCAACGCGTTCATCATCGGCATGCCCTCGCGAGTGGCCGCCGTGTGGTTCGGACCTCAGGAGGTGTCCACAGCCTGCGCTCTGGGCGTCTTCGGGAACCAGGTGAGGGTTCGAGTGGCGAGTTGGTGGACGAATCGGAGTTCAGAGTGGGGTGGTGGTGGGGTCAGAATTCGCTGCTGTGGTCAAGACGGTGAAAATGCTCGAGTCATGCCGATGTCACGGCTGTGGAACCATACGGGT